AAGCAAAGCGCGGCTTGGTTTGGGGCTTTAGTCGGGACCGTCCCCCCTTTTCATTTATGTGACTTTTGTGTGGTAGGCTCCTGATTGTCTGATTGGCACAGGCTTCCTCCTGGTAGTAGCGATTTGCTTAGTTCAGTCTCATGTTCCGAAATAGGGATCTGTTAAAGGCCGTCTGTAATGGCCAGTAAGACCTGTGTGTCAATAAGCTGTAATTCCTTTAATTTCTAATGAGCAGTGATTTTTTTTTTTTCTTTTTTACTTGTTCAGTTAGCCACTTATTCTGATTCCCCATTTGTTCAGAATGCCCTCTTTTGAGGTGGCCTCATTAGGCCTAGGGTCTTGAAACACCCTTTCATAGGCTTATCAAGGTCTTCAGTTTTTTAATAGCCCTATGGCTATAAAGAAACATCAAGTCCCATCTAGGTGACGTTTAGGTGATACCTGAGTTAATTCTGCTAACTTGTTTTTTCCTTTGTTCAGGTTTTTCCTTGAAAAACAGTTACAGACATGTTACAGCCATCTTCTGTTTAACAGTCACTTTTGACAGGAATTTGATTTATTAATATTTGATCTAGAATCTGGTTTTGCTACTATGTCACACATATTCTTGTCTCTGCTTCCTAGAGCCAGTGTAATAGTTATGTCTTGCTGGTTCAGTAATTTTTTTTTTTGAAATCTGTTATAGTTGATATGTCAAGAAGTATTAGAAACTTAATATTTACATCCTTTGTGCATAATAAAGCAAACAAAGTTGACCATGGTGGTACAATTCCTAAGAAAACATTGTTTTGATGTTAGAGCTCTCTATATGTAGAACTGCTCTTTATCCTTGTGAGGCTTAATACAGTGAGGTTGCTCACTTTCTTGACCTTTGCTGGATTTGATCAATAAATATATGTCAACTTTTTTTCTTTTTAACTTGAGATTGTTAACTCATCTAATTCAATCCAGGTATTTATTTGTAGAACAGAGATTTTATTCTGTACAGATTAACACTCCTTATGGGTTTTTGCAGCTTTCCTGTCTTCATTTATTCTGGATTCAGTATGTTGGGAAGTAGTTGGAGTTGTGAAGCTGTGGAATGAGTGGTGTCGAACATCCAACACAACAAATGTCCTCCCAACAGATTCTTTCTGTTTGTTCTACCGATTAATATCAGATCCAACGGTAAGTGATTTATGCATTAATTCCTCTGTATTTGAGCTTTGTGAAAAAGAGAACAACCTTCATCCACCCCGACCCTGCTCAGCATTAATGCTTAACAAAGCATTAAAGCTGCAGTATTCCAAATTCATCTCATCAAAAACCCAGAGGATCATATTATACTTACTAAAACTATTTCAAGTTCTGATGCGTGAAGTTCAATACAAAGGGATGAATGACAGCCTGATTGCTTCACATCAATTGTGAATGAGAAATTTGTGTTCAAACAGAGTTGAAGAAGCCCAAGAAAACTGAACAGGTTGTTGCCTGCAGCCAAGTTGTCTTTACATGTGATTATGAGCTGTTGTTATGCTCTTTAAACCATTTGCTTATCAAATTTTATTTTCTTTTTTTTAGGTTTTGCTGTGCCAGTGCAGTTGCTATGTTGCTGAGGATCAGCAGTTCCAGTGGCTTGAAAAGGTAAAACCAGGAAGACAACAAGTAGAGCAATGAGATCTTAGGGGTGGGAATTTTCAATTTAGTGTAAGTGCCTTTTCCTTTCTGATATTCTAAATATGACAGTATTCTAAATAACTGGTTTTCGTGTGGGTTTCTTAAATATTCAACAAATGAAAAAATTTACTATCTCCAGATAATGTGAAATTCCTGTGCCAGTTGTATCAGTTGTATCTGCTGTAACTTATCAACTTCCTGAAGTTTCTGCCTTTGGACAGTTTCAGTTTTATTGCCTTTCGCTACTTTCCAAACCTTTCTGCTGTTTGGCTTAATTTTCTGTGGCTTGTTTCAGCTGCATTTCACTTCTGGAAGAATCCTTCTTTAAAAAAACAGCTGCATTTGTACAGCTGCCAAAGGATCAGCAGACAAAACTGTTGTGAAACTCATGGTGGATGGTATCTTCAGGAACGGGTGTGTTCTGTTCCTTTCACAAGGAGGAACTCTAAAGGCAGATGTCTCCAAAGCAGTATCTGTCCCATTTGTTCGTAGTATGCTAGGTGCCTTACCCCAGCATCAGTCAGGTGCATGAATGCTGCTGGGTCATTCAGGTCCCTCCAAATAGCATGCCATGGGCAGTGCACGAGAAGGATTCTGTGGCTGTGAGGAAGAACCATATGAGCATCCAAGTGGGAGTGAGCCAGAGAGATTATGGGAAGGCTGAGAGGGTGGAAAACTGGGTGATTTTGCTGAACAACACAGGGTTTTCAGACCCAAGTCTGTGGAAAGCCAGCCTCCTGTGGGTCCTTGGCTTGTTGGAGAGTTTTAATCCGCTTTGGTGGGGTGTAGTGGTTTGCTTTGAAGTTAGAAATCCCAGATCTAAAACATCTTTGGTTTGCTGTATTCCATGCGTTCTTGCACTTCATTTTGACTGGGATTACAAAAGACGGATAATTGTGGTTTTGCTGTCATCCCCACTTGTGTTTGTTGAGCTGTTTGCGCATACGTGTTATTTCAACCGTGAGTGTTTATGAACAGTAGGAGTATACAGTTTTACCAAGTCAATGTTCTTGAGTATTGTTAGACTTCATAGTTATTGGTACTTTTAAATGTACAGTAGCAACATTGTGCTGGTAATCTTCTGCTTCTAGCACGAGTTACAGAGCTGCATGCTTCGTAAATTCTGATTCACTGAGCTTCTTCGTGGTCTCCACGAGCCATTTTTACTTCTGTATGTGCTTTCTCAGTAAGTGATCACTGACCAAATGAGGACATACAGACTAAAGCTTTGCAGTAATGCATACCAGCCAGTGTTACCAGCAATGTAAATTGAAAATGTGTGCTTCTGAGAAGTTATATCAGTTTTGTGTTACAGTGATAACACTGATGTGAGGGAAAAGTCAGGTTCCCTTCTGTGATTAGTACCATATACAGAAACAGGAAAGTTTCTGTAATGTTTATCAAATTCCCCATTTCCTCGTTGATTATAAATTTGAAGAGGATAGTGTAAAGGGAAGATGCAGGTTTATTGTGCTTCTGCTCATTTTGACCTATGTTCTTTAAAAAGAGTGGACCACTCCACAGCATCTTGGTCCTTTCTGAAGGTGTGCAGTGGATCCAAAAGTATGTTTTGTACAATGTTTTTGAAAGTTCCTTCTGAATTTGAGGAAGGCTGCAGAAAAATTAAGGTTCTCTTTCTCTGTTCAACTTTAATATAATTAATTAAAAATTGAGTATTTACAATGAAGATGTTTTTTAAGTACTGTAGAAGATCTGGGGAGCACAATTTCAATTTCAAACATCTTGCAGCTTAGCAAGCTGTCTTCCTGTCATGAGCAGCCCCATTTTATTTGGGGTCCTTTTTCTTCCTACAATCACCCTGAGTAAAAACAGTAAGTCTTAATATATTTGTAGGTGAATAGAAAGTGCCAAAAATCTAAAGCCTCTCAAGAAAATCAGTAGACTTGCTGTTGTTTTTGGTTTTGTCGTTGTTTTGGTTTTTTTTTCCTAATCTCCTGCCCAAGAGCAATACAAGTGAAATTTTTACCTGATGGTTGTGATTCAAATTTTAGTTAGTCCTGCAAACTTGAATTAAACTGCCTTTTGCCATCTGCACTAAAATTCAAATGAATCTTTGTGGGTTTGTGCAGTTACTGTGAGAAGATAAATTTTGCTTACATATTAACATTTTTATTTCAGGTTTTTGGCCGAATGCAGAAAGAGGGCTTGCAAGTAACCATTCTTTCAACGTGTCCTGTAGCTGATTATAAAACTCAGGAATCCACTTTAACACTTCCATCTCCATTTCTGAAAGCCTTGAAGACAAAAGAATTTAAAGAGCACATCTGCTGCCCACTGCTGGAACAACCTAACATTGTGCGAGATCTCCCTGCTGCTGGTATTTTGCAGTTCTAGTTATTTATGAGGCTGCTGATGGCAACAGAAAATTCACTTTGAAGAGCATCCCACTGCAATTAGAATTTTTACTTAATTATGTGAACTGGCTAACAAGTTAGCTTTTTGAAAATGAACCCATAACAGTTTTGACTTCTTACGTGTTGCCTTCTAAAATAGGGACAAATTTCAAACCCACCCAAAAATCCTTTTACCCAGTATATGTGGGACATAAGTACTAGCAAATTCTTCAGTATAGCCTCACAAGGCATATTGTGTATTTGGATTTTGGGGCATACTTATTAACTGAAGTATGGTTTATTAATAAGTTTTTTTCATCTGATCATCCAAATTGAAGCACACAGTGTCTTTTCTGCATATTACAGGTAAAGCAGGTTTTGCAGTGTTGCTGATTGACTGATCTCATGTAAGAGTTAGATTCAGTTTTACTGTGTAATATGATAAACCCCCGAGGCTTTTCATTATAGAGTACCAATTAGTGTTAGAATTATGAGGAGAAATTTGTCTGGGAGGAGATAAAAGTGGATAGTTTTTCTAGAAAAAGTTTACCTTGTTCATACTTTGTTTTGAGTTTCTATGTTTGGTAGTGGGTTTGAGTATTTTGGGGGGTAAAGGGGCAAGGAGGTAAGGTTTGGTTTGTTTTTTTACAGGAGCTCATATTATTTTTGTTTACCAATAATATACAGCTTTCAGTTGAAGTATTTGCCTAGTAGAAATACCGGCTGCATTTTCCTAATTTTTGGTGGTTTATAGTCTTGTGTACCTGAGGAGTGAGGGATGACTGGTCTAGCAGTCAGCATCCCAAGTAGTTAACTTACAAACTTCCATGCTTTTGAAGTTCTGGCCATAACAGATGGGATTTTATACACAGAACTCAGACTTCTTAGCTGAATGTAACACGTGTTGTTTTTTGGTTTTTTTTTTTTTACTCGTATGCAGTTTTGAGTTATTGTCAAGTGTGGCAGATTCCTGCAGTGTTGTATCAGTGTTACACTGATGTCATCAAACTGGACACAGTTACAATTGAAGCATTCAAGCCTCTGCTTTCCTGTAAAACCCTGAAGAGTTTAGTGAAGGTAAAATTTCATATTTAAAAATTAATGGGAAGTTTGGTCTATTTTTGTCTGCCTTAAACGTCTTGCATTCTGTTGTGCCCTTATGAGGATTGAAAAATACATGAAAAATACATGAAAAATACAGACTGGAATGACAGAGAGCAATGATTTCTGGTATAGTACCTACAGAAAAATCTCATTGCAAGTTGCTTAGAAGTAGTGAATCTACAGCTTCCCTCAAAACTTCATTTTGACTTTTCAGGCTCTTCTAGTGACACATATATCAGGGAGTGTTTCTTGTGATTGTTAAAGCTACAGTTTAACAATCAGTTTAACACCTTTGGAAGTGTCTTGTGTTAAAACCTTAAAGTGTGTTATTTTACGTTCTATGTTCATATGCAAGGTGACTCTGTTCTAGCTCTGTGCCATACGTGAAAGCTTCTTAAGTAATTTATTTTGACTTCTAATTTCTGTCTGGAATGAAAAGACTGAATTTCTAAAGATAATTCTTAACTGTTGTGCACTAATCTATCAGCTCTGAAATAATGGCATTATAGCTACTAAAGTGAATGTTTTGCTTCTTTCTGAAAGTTTTTTTTATTGAAGTATAGTTTGTCCAAAACTCTCCTCACTTTTGCCAGCTGAACTTATATTTAAATGACAGAAGAGGTTTGTGTGTGCTGAAGTATTTATGTCAGCTTTAGATGTGGGAGTGGTGGGTTTTCCTTATAGCTTATGCTGGTCTACTAAATACATCTGACAGATGAGTGTGTAAATCTTTAAACACTGAAGGAAAACGGCAGCAAATAGTCAGGCTCTTCCTCTCATAAACAAGCAAGGAGAAATGCAAATGAACAAATCCCACTCTGTGGCTGAACTGCAAATTCCTTTGGAGTCTTTAGCAGGTCTCTGGATAGCTTTGTTCAGAAGACCTGAGTTTTGTTCACAGGTAACATTTTAATACGGCTGGTATTTAGAATAATAAAAATGGAGTAGAGGACAGTGAGACTTTTCTTCTTATCAGCAATGTAGCTAATGCTGATCATCTCTTCCTTTTCCTAGGATGTGTCTGAAAGCACAAAGATTTTGAAGAAATTACTGACAACCAATGAAACTCACAATAATATCTATATCTGAAGAAGACATTTATGACACAGACTGCGCTTTTGTAAGTTTGAGTTTCTTCTATAGAGGACGTTTTGGAATTGCAGGATTTTTTTCCAGTAGAATCCTTCCTTCTGCACTCAATTTTGTTACTTTCAAATTCATCCCTACAAGTACATGTTTCTTCTGCAGTGGCTTCGGAGACTTTCTTCTGGAGTGATTTTAGGAAAGATACCTTAAATAAAAAAAGAGCTTCTTTTCTTCCTCCTGAAGGGATAGTCTTACCTAAATGTATACCTTTTATATATAAAACAGGAAACACATTTAAGGAATTCTGTCTGTATCTAACAAGAACACCTATTTTTTACTTTTTGAGACACAAAAGTTTTCCTAAGATTTGGTCCTCTTTAAAGATTTGTCTGGAATGGAGAAAATATGCTCCACATCTTTTTACATACACAGAGAATTATATGTATTTATGTATGAATGGTACATACATATGTCTGCATGTACATTTTTTCTTATGTATGTATTGATACAAAAGACAGTAAGTAGAGTACAGTTAATACCTTTAAAAGACTTACTGGTGGAAAGTAATCTTAATCTTGCTCTACAGATGAGCAGGAGGCAGGAATGTGAAGCTGTTTTGAACTGCATGGAAGGGCTGTGGCTTGGATGCACCGAGTAGACTGTCACAGACATTCAGGTTGCTGCCTCCTGTGTGTCTGGCAGGAGCAGAGACGTGCCCACAGTCAGATGCCACAGCTCCTGGTTTGCAGCACCTTGGTGAGAACTCACCTTTGTTGGCAGTTTCAGCTTCAGACATTGAGCAGGAGCCACAGAGGTGCAGGAGAATTCCCTGCTGTCACTCACAGTGTGGGCACCTCTCCTGGTGAAACTGGGTGGTAGCAGCTCTCGGGCTGCTTCAGCTGGATTAGCCGGGGTAAGCAGATTTGATCTATCCACTTTAAAACTCTGAATTGCTGGCAATGGTAGGAATAGTATCCCTTATGCAGAGTGTGTGATTTTTAGAGGAAAGTAAAAGTTCAGGTTTCAGGGTGTCTCAAAAAATTCCCTGAAAGTTGGTAATGGTTTCAATGATGTATTTAAAATATTTCTTAGAATTGACATGCAGTTCTGACTTGTATATACCTTCTGTTTAACATTTTGTTCAAGAAGATGGTGTTAAAGAGTATTTCTGTTGCTACCAGGTATTTCACTGGTGTCACTACACAGAGATCTTTAGATTGCATGTAGCTTATCCCTTTGGAACAAACATCTGTCAGCTTCAAAGTTTTCTGCTTTGACTGACAGTGGATGTGAAGTGGATATCTTTGAACAGTGTATTCCATTAACAGAACTCTTATCCCTTCAGATTTGAAAGTGGTCATCTTAGTCAACATCCACTGAAACAAGCAACCCTGGCTTGAGCAGGTCCATTACAACTTCTGTTTTGGGAATTTCTTGAATGGAGGCTTTGTCAGAGTTTCAACGGTATTAGAACGTTCTTGATGTGAATATCAAGTTGCATATAAGAAGTTGATTTAAGTTTTTGTTCATGTAATTGCAGATAAGCAAGAAACTGTTGCATTAGGTGGTACTGTGTTTTGGAACAAACTCAAGCATGAAGTACAGGACGTGGTTCCTTCTCTTTGTGTTTTTTTCTCCATTTCTGCACAGCATTTTAATTAAAACCTGTTTGTGCTCTAAGCTGAGACTTCTGTTGCTCTGAAAGTTGCACATTGGCTGCACTGTTTTCTTGCTTGCATACTGAACGTGTTTGATTCACTTCTTCCTGCGTGCCAGCAGCAGAGGCACTGGTACTGTGCACAAAAGCATGAGCCCAGATGTTCTTTTTGGAGCCCAAGCCTTTTGCAGCACTAAAGCAGGGGATTCACACCCTGAAGGCTGCTCTCAGAGGTTGCCATCCAGCAGCGTGCTCCCTGAACCTTGCTCACGTACCTCTCTGTTCCCACTGCACAAGAGAGATGAGGTAGAAAAGAGCTTTATTCTTTGATCAGTCCATCCTTGAAGTCAACACATGATGCATGTCTTTTCCCCCTTCCTATGTGAAGGTTTCATCTTGCTGCATGGCTCTGGCACAGCTTTCTAGATTCCAGCCTTCTCATACTGGCAGCAAGCACTTTAAGCTGCACCCTGCAAATTGTGCTTTGTTGCCAAAGCCTCAGAAGAAGAGCCTTATTTATGGCATGTAATTTTACAATTTCTGTGCTAAAAACTATTCAAATGTTTGGGAAGTCAGGTAGGTAAATTTCAGGAAGATCCTGCACGTTTGCCCTGCAAATTTAAATTCAGTCTCAGCCCAGTGCCTGAAGACATTTTCATCTTGAGTGAGAGTGTTAACGTGCTTTTTCCCACATAAAGCTACCCTGTGTAAGGGGCACTGCTTGCTTATGAAAACTGTCTGCCTCCCACCCTGCCCACTCTGTGCTGGCAACTGGCAAGGAGGAAGCTCAGGATGAGGGTGCTGGTTTTGTTTCTTCCCCATGTTGGAGGGCACGATAACTGAGGCACACAAGAAAAGAAGCAAAGAGAGGGAATTTGTCTCTGCCTCAACTTTTCTTTCACAATCCTGGGCAAGCCCCATAGATGGCAATTGGACATGCAGCTGGTATGTATGTGTGTATTCTGCAGGTGAACGAGCTGAGGTACCTAAGACCTGACTTGCTGACATGTTGAGCACTCAGAAAATGAGCTTTAAGAGCAAAGCTGGATCAGGATGCTGAAGGCACACAAAATTACTACAGTGAAACTTGAAAATGCTTAAAATGCAAGTAATAAAAAAGATTCCTTTATAAAGGCAAGCATTTTCTTCAACCTCGTGTTCCCAGTCTTTTGCCATGTTCTGTTTTGTGCCTAAAACATTGAAGAATTCAAATGAGCTTGGGATGGAAGTAGAGATTCGTGACATTTTTCAGTGCAATCGGTTCTGCATTTTTTTTCCCTTTAAATATTTTAGACTAAAATTTTTGACAGCTGCTGCACATAACAGCAACCAGCATTGCTGGGTGCCTCTATCTGGTCGAATGAGACCAGAGCTTTGAGATGAGCACTCAGATGCTGTTCATAGATACCCTATGGTAGTTCATGGGGAAAAGTAGGTGAGAATTCCAAGGGATAAAAACACAAAAGTGCTTGTTTTGCTTTGATACCAAGGTATTCTGAGGTGTCTTCAGTGAGGGAAGAACACAATAGACCCCCAACAGTTTGCATGTGGAAGAAAGTTAAAGGTTAAATGGCAGGCTATAGTCTTCAGTTTTTCACTTCCAAGTAATTGCATAATCAAATGTTTAAAGGTTCTTTGTATAGGATATTGTCTGGGTAGTTGCTTTAAAATAGAAAACGTTTTGAAAGGATGGTGATGTACCTTCAAAGATAGCATAAGCATTTACTGAACAGACTGTGGGTTGTTCCCCTGTGCTTTAGTCAGAGGATTACAGCGTGCGTTCATACACCAAACCCACTGTATTGCTCATGTTCAGGATTGATAATTCTTCTCTTAGGTCAAATTTGGACTTGGATCCTTTCTCATAAAGAGAAATGAAAGCTGTCTTTTTTCCCATCTGCTCTATAGAATTCAAAGCCTATCTGCTGCTTCATAGGGAATTAACAGAATGGAGTCACAGTCGCTAAAGGCAGCAATTTGGTCACTGGACAGATGAACAGTTAATGAACAGCCTCACTTATGAAAGAGTAAACCTGTGTGTAAAAAGGTTGTAGCTGGAAGGTTGTATGAGAACAGAGGCAACCAGTAAGGAAAAGGTGAGAGCACAGTACAAAAAAACCTTAGAGCTGATCATCCTATAAAATTAGGGGTTTAGGTGGTGGTTGTGAAATCAAAGTAGGGTGTAAGGTGAGTTTACTGTTCTCTGCTGGCTCTGAGTAACTTTCTCACAGGTCACAAAGAGTCCCTTTGTGCTGTTCACTTTGTGCTTTGTGCTCAACTCGCTTCTGAAGCAGATTGGAAAAGGTGGGTTTTGTGCAGAGTAAGCACAGTGAGCAAGTACAAAAAAACAAACCTGGCTATTTCCACCCTTAAACCCTGGAGGACACTTGCAAGAAACCCTGCAGATGCTGTCAGAAACAGGCAGTTCTTTTGTTAAGTACTTAGAAAGTGCTGGTGCGAAAATTATTCAAGCTGAAACCAGAACTAAGAGTGCCTACCATAGCTCTGTCAGGTTGTTGGAGTCTTTTTCAACGTGGTAGTAAGCAAGCACGCTGGATACAGCCTTGTAGTGCCATGTGTGAGGGGATGCTCTGCAACAGTGGATTGAACAGAAGAGCAATTCAGCACCTCCCCTTAGAGTTTTTACTTTTTCGTGTTCTCCCACTTCTCTGTGACCTATATGAGAGTATCTGTGAGGAATTTTTAATGAGTATTGAAATTTAGTAGTGTTTTTTTTTTTTTTAACAAGAAATAGTCTGTGGGGGTTTTAGTAAAGAAAGTTATAGCCAGGTGTTGTGGTAAGCATATCTTTATGAACATGAACTTCATCTCCTACAAGGCCTATTGCAGAGATAAAAAAACATGTATGAATCCCCACTGGTCCTAGCTGACACCCTGTCTAGCAAGTAAAGAAACTCTAGGTGGTGCAGGTTTGTCCAGCATAATTTTCAGTGAAGATTTTGTTGGCTCTAGCTGTGAATGCTCTGGTTTGTGTACTGCTGGACAATGATTGTATTATTTGCTTTTCTGTACAACTCAGTCTGGAGCTGACTGAGAGATCACCTAATCAAAACTGCAGGTTGTTTTATTCTATGGTGTTCATTCATGGCAATGCCACATTCTAAAGCTTGCATAAATTTTAGTTTTTCACTAACTTGTTCAATTAATTTAAATTAATTGTCTTTAAAATTTAATTATTGTCTTTTTAAAATACCTGGGTGGAAATATTACCCCAAGTCAATGCTGAAGATCAGATTTCATCTCTGCTCAATTCTGAGGTAGTTTGTGACTCTGTTCTGATTCGGGCTCAGGTATATCTGATGTTATTCTGCTTAAAGCAGTAAAAGTCCTATACCCGTACTTGATGTGGTTTTCCTGAATGTCCTCAAAATTATTTGTGTTGGAAAGTAAATAATTTATGAAGAGGATG